AGAGTGTATTTCTACATGTGATTTACTTAATCTAACTGATTGATGACCAGTTTTACTCATTTCTATTTGAGAGCCATGACAGATTTTATTCATTGTCCTTTCTTTCCTTCGTCCCCCAATTAAAAGTCTAAAATTTCCTATTCCATAGGTGGAAAAATTAAGAATAAACTTCTGCTTAGTGACATAAATGTTGAAATCAATCATTCTTTACTGAGATTTCAAACAAAGTCACTCTTTTCTTTAAAACTTCCTTTCAAAAAGTCAGGGTTCACGAACGACTACAAATGGCCTCTGCTCCAACCTTCCCCACATACAATTCACACTTCAAGTTGATTCTTTTGATTTTGCCTCTTTATTTCTAAACAGAAACAGTATATTTATTACCTTTAAAAAAAGTTAGTGGTAGCATGTTTTAACGTTCTATTGAGGACAGTGGGGATTCAGCTTTTATCATAGGCCTGTTCAGTGTACTTTTCCAGCAATTTTCTCATCCTCTAGGTTTCAGCTTAATTTTCACTTCTTTAGCTGATTTTCTTTAATCACCTATCTATCAATTAGATGCCACCCTCCACCACCAGATTTTTTTTTTTAAAGAAAAGCACACTGTGTGTTTCTTTCATTCTGCTATAATTATTACATATCTGGATTGTTTTTGCTTGTTTATTGCTGTAGCAGTACTCCCAGCTGCCACAATTCCAGATTCTTTCTTTCTTATCCCTTACGAGTAGGATTCTGATTTTATTCAGGATAGTAACCAGCCGAACAACAAACCACCACCAACAAAAAACTCCCTCAATTTTTTATACTCTCCTGCCATGGGATAAACTTCTAATGCAGGATAGGCAGAATTTGGGAGGATATCTATTTCCAAATAAAAAGAAAATTTCTATGTGGGATAGATATAAAGTCTAGAGATGTGGCAGCCATTTCACAGCACTGAGAGTATAAATAAAAAGGTACAAACCACACACTAAAGGTGCTGGAGAAAAGTTATAAAGAGCCTGTACTCTTGAAGGCATCATTGTGCTGTCTTACTTCCCTTGGGCTCTGCCTTTCAGACTTCCTAGTCTGTGAGAAAATAATGCATTCCTAATACAGTGCATTGGCTTTGCCATTCTCTTTCATCTCTTTTCATTCTCTTTCAAGCTCTGTGAGGCCACGAGCACTATGAACCTTGTTTATACTTGTGGCCTTAGATCAGGTTTTCTTAACCTCAGCACTATTGACATTTTGGGCTGGATTATTTTTTGATTTGGAGGGCTGTTTTGTGCATTGTTGGATGTTTAGTAGCACCCCTGGCCTGTGCCCACTAGATGCCCGTAGAATGCCCCACCCCCAGATATCTCCTGGGGGTAAATTGCTCTCCAACTGAGAAGCATTGTCTTAGATGATGGGTTCATTGCCCAGGAGATGCTGACCAATAGATACTGGCTGTATTATCAAGATGATTAATTAATTGGATGTGAGGATTGAGAGAAATGGTAGAATTCAAGGGTGACTTCCAAGTTTCTCTCTTGGGCTAGTAATTGTATCACTTAAAAGATGGAGAGGCATGTTCCAGTTTGTTAATGTTTCTCTTAAACCGTGACCTTTAAGTCAAATAAATACTCCAGATGTGACTCAGACACCACAGATTTCTGTTCCTGTGTTAGTGACGCATAATACCTTAGCACTTCCATAGTATTTCTTTCCTCTTTATCAATCACATAGCATTCCTCCCCCCACTTTATTGGTTGCATTGCACTATTGCCTTATACTGGCCTTGAAATTCACTAAAATCTCCTGCTAGCTTCTGTCTTGTTCTACCCTTTAATTTTTCAATTGTGCTTTCAAAGTGGGAGATTTTGCATTTTTCCTTTTACATTTCAGTTCTTTCATATCAAGCTCTGTTCTTGGTTTGTTAACATATTTAAATTTTTTTTCTTTTTTCTGTTTCATATTAGCTCTCTGTGCCCAACTTGATCTTCCATTGATTGGTTGCTTGTGTAATGATTTTGACTAGGAAATGGCGAAGAACAAAGTACATGATGTTACTGGGTCTTCATGGACTGAGCTCAGAACAAGTGTCTCATAACCAATCTTGGAACAGTTATTTTAATAGACAAATCTTCTTTCTCCCTGCATCCAGTTTTAAAGATTACATGGAGCTGTAAGTGAGCACCATCTCTGAAATCTGCTTATAGGAAAGAAGACAGGATATAACTTCAGAGGGATACAAAAGTAATAGCTTTTCATTCTTGATTATATAGGAAGGTCCAATCAGGCATTTTTACTCTGTTTAGACTATAAAGCTCAGCTCAGTTTGTGGTATTGGCATGCAGTGTATGCTTATGCAACAGGAAAGAGTGGGTTTAAGTGGTATGCAGTGTGCTTTCCAGTGAGTACATAATAATTTCATTTACTGTGTTTTATAAGAGGGCTGGAGGACTGAGAACCAGTGAAAAATCTCCAAGATTGCAGAAGAGTATTATTTACAATGAATAATGTAGCATATTATAGGGGGAGGAATGGTTACCTGATCAAGATAAGTCTTAAGATCTTACAGAGCTGTAAAATAAATAGAAGTCCTTGAGTAAAAGAAAAATAAAGCAGCACATTTAGGGAGAAATTATCAAAGCTATATTTATAAGGTAATGGGTGTAGCTCTCTATTAGAGTTAGGATTTCTTAGAATTAATGCTCATGTTTCGGGACAGGCTCTCCCCCTCTCTCCCATGAACTATTTGATATTAACTAGTCTCTTAGTTTGTACTCTGGCCATTCCAAATCATTCTTTTTTTTTTTGCGGTACGCGGGCCTCTCACTGTTGTGGCCTCTCCCGTTGTGGAGCACAGGCTCCGGATGTGCAGGCTCAGCGTCTATGGCTCACAGGCCCAGCCGCTCTGTGGCATGTGGGATCTTCCCGGACCGGGACACGAACCCGCGTCCCCCGCATCGGCAGGCGGACTCTCAACCACTGCGCCACCAGGGAAGCCCCCAAATCATTCTTAATCATCATTACTTAAAAATATTACCTCCACCGTTATCTTTCTCAGACATACTTTGTGACTGTCCCCTGTTCTCTCATTCCAAATTTGGAATTCAAATAGAATGAATTCCAAATTTCTGAGGATTGCGCATAGGACACTGATTTTATTCCCAATTTATATTTCTTCTCCCCTCCATGAAAACTGTGCTCTAACCACGCTGACCTGCTTTATAGTTTTGAATGTTCCATGCTCTTTCAAACTTCTGTGACTTTGCTCATGCTGTCACTTCTGCATGGAATCTCATTCTCTACTCTTATATTTGGTAAATTCAATGGTATTCCTTAAGGCCCAAGTCAAATGTCACCTTAATTTTATGTTCCTGACTTTCGCCTCCCCAAATCCGTAGTGTGTGCTTGATACATGTTTATGAAATGAGTACTTAGTAAATCTCCAAAAATATGAAGTAAGGAACTCAGTTTCATTGATGTTTATATAAAAATAAACCTTACATTATACAATAATTTATCTGAAAAGCTTTGAGTACGTAAGATTTTAATAAATCAAAATGTATTCGAGAGAACTAACTGAGTAATCCTCTTTGAAAGTTAAAACAATATTATTGTTATATACATTCTCTTTCACTAACACGTTTTGTCTGTTTATCTTGTGTACATAGCCTGAAGATTGCTTAATAGCAGGAAACCCAGTAACCAATCAGGTGTATATAACTTTAATCTTGTTTCAGTTTATTGAGTTGGGAATATGAGACTACCCATTTTCTATAGTGTATAATTATTACTGATATTATTTCTTTTTAACCAATTTTCATTAAAATGTTTGTTCATATAACCAGCCTGTAAGAGTTCTTCATTGGGAATATTGTTTCTGTAATACAAGATCAAAAAGAGAAAAAATATTTTGTTAAAAGATAGCAAGAAATTAAAGAATGACGTTCTCGCAGAATTGTACAGAAAAGGGGGACCGATGAAATAATATTTTAATATTTTATTTTGAAAATATATAAAAGGCTGATAAATGACAAGAAAATGGTATTTGAATTAAACACCATGAACTGATGCTATTTGTAGAGCACTGTGACACATATTCTCTACATTTATGCCTTCCTTGTGGACCTCTAAGAAACTAGAAGAGGAAGTGGGAGGTGAAATGCATGGATGGGTAGTTCTTTTTTCAGTGAATTGAGAGGTAGGAAAACACCATTGCAAGCATAGGCACTATTGACAGTCTTTTAAACAAAGTAAAGCTTTTACCTCTCCAAAGTGTGACAAAGATTGTGATTTTGTTGTGGCCTTGAACCTTAAACTAAATAATATAGGCTGATGCTCAAAGGGGAAGATCAGTTTGAAAAAGTTAATTGGGATCCCATTCATAATGTCACATAATTAATTTAAACTACAAATGTAGCTTCCTTTATATCTGTTGGCCAGTGTCAATGAATGGAAACGCATTTACATCTTGACATTGTAGAAATGTCTACTCTTTTTTTTCTTTAATTTTTTATTGAAGTGTAGTTGATTTACAATGTTGTGTTAGTTTCTGGTGTACAGCAAAGTGGTTCAGTTATACATGTATATACATATTCTTTTCCATTATGGTTTATTATAGGATATTGAATATAGTTCCCTGTGCTATACAGTAGGACCTTGTTGTTTATCTATTTTATATGTAGTAGTTTGTATCTGCTAATCACAACTCCTTCTGTATCCCTCCCCCACCCCCTTTCCCAGCTGGTAACTGAAAGTTTGTTTTCTATGTCTGTGAGTCTGTTTCTGCTTCGTAAATAAGTTCATTTGCATCCTACTCATGTATTTTAATCAGGGGTTTACGATCAATCGTGATTTTTCTTTACAATATGAACAAAGTACAACAACTTATTTATATTGTCATAGAGTTGACCTTCAAAACATGCCCCAAATCTTCATACTATCTGCTTAAATACCATAGAATGGGTGCAACCTACCATTATAAATAGAACTGAAAAATAGAAAACATTGAAAATATTGTGACTTTCCCCAGTTCTGGAAAACAGTATCTGGGGCTTTGAATTCCAGCATGTGCATGCACAAGGACGGAAGCAACAGAATGAAAGAAAATACAGTTACTAACTCAACCTATTATTTTTCAACCATACGGTTTTATGATAGTAATGCATAAGAGAATATACCGCTTGTAATTACACTACAGACTGATGAGGATTCTGGATTTTTTCATATTCTTCAACATAGTGTTGATACTGATCAGTAAGGAGAGACTGATTTGCTTCATCCATGTTTCTTCTGGCACGAATCAGACAAGAAGCACCCACAAAAATGACTGCAACCAGTAATAAAGCAGCAACGACCGCTATGGTAACAATCTCAGAAATACTAAAATTCCGACCTATGTGAAAAAGAAAACGAGAGCAAAAAATAAATAATAAAACAGTTGCCACCCAAAATTGGATACCGTAATAGAGGCACTGTTCCAGGCACTTTACAAAGTCCTCATATTTAATTTTTATTGGCTACATCGCCCGTTATAGCACCTGGCATCTTCAAAGCACTTTCCGATTTCTCATAGTGAGCCCTACTGGGATAGTTATATTCATTCTAAAGGAAATGATGGCTCAGAGTTTGAGTCACTTGCCCAAGGTCATTTGGTTAGTATGCAGTAGAGTTGTTTTGGAGCCCAGGTCTTTCAGGACCCAGATCCTGTGCTCTTCCACTGTACCCCACTGCCTTTGTTAAGAAAGGTATTTAAAATTAAATCAGAAAGTTTTGAATTTCAAAACTTCAGAAAAAACAGCTCAGAATATCTCCATCTCTTTTTTTTTTTAGGCTAAATAAACGGAAGCAACATTATGTAGTAGAAAAATAAGGGCATATTACACAGGGCTAAGCTCAAGACTCATTCTCTGTGCTCACTAGAAAGGTGATCCTTGACAATTACTCCCTCTAAGCCTTGTCTTCCTTATTTGTAAAATGAGGATTTTAATGCCTGCCTCAGAGGGTTGTAAGGATTAAATGAAATAGTGTGGTATGTAATCAGCTCAATACCAGGTCAGAGTGGGCTCTCAACAAATGTTAAATTCAGTCTCTTTATCCACAAATAAAAATTCAAATGAAAGCTTCTAAATCCAAGTGGAAAACTGTGGATTACTTTATCTCAGAAAAATGTGATTACCTTAAGGGTGACAAACTTGCTTTCGGAAATTTCCACAGTAGAAATATATTTTCAGTACTCACTTGGCCATTGAACTTCATAAGTGTATCCCAGGTTGTCTGGAGCAGTAACAAACATTTCTATGTTGGTAATTGGAGGCCAAAATGGTACCATATTGTATTGTCTGTTATGTCCAATAGGGGCATTTTCCAATGGAAATGTGGATATATCTAAAATATGTCAAAGACACCTTGTTAATAGACAAACTCAAGCTAATATTAATACATTATTATTATGTTCTGAAGGTGACCCAAAGTATTCAAGGGTAACATTAAAAATTCTTTCATATTTTACACTGAGTAAAGACATAAAAATGTTTCACTACAGCAGAACAGGGAATTGCATAAAACAGAGCTCAGATGCTTTGAGTACAGCACTAACATGTCATCCAATACAAAAAGAGAGTTTAAAAGTAAGGAAGTTTTAGTCTTTTCTTATCTATGATGATCATTAGTTGTTTTACTTTTATATTACAGAAACTAATTTGAATAAAATTCATTAAACTTACTTTTCAAAGCTAAAGAAAAGATTGGACCTGTAATTTGCTGTAGTATCATCTATGATTTAAATATGAGAGACACTGTAGCTAATGAGGTTTGTCCTTGACTATGACTATTTCTGTTTAGTATTTTTCATTTTTCTGTTTAATTAGAGAAATAAATATTAACTTATTCCCTGGGTTTTACTCTGTTAACAAAAAGCACTTAACACTTTGAATCAAGGTCCTAGAATCCTATTTGCTTCCTGCCGCCTTTCATCTTTCTACTTAAATAAAAATCATAGGCATTTATATTATTAGTTTCTGTTATCACAGATAAAAGGAGTGATATACTCTTTGTGACAAAAGATCATTCCTTTTTGTTGTTGTTGTTGTTGTTTATATTTATATTGGTACAATTAAATGCCAAATGGAATGTCACAAAACCAGAGTTGGAAGTGGGTTTGGGTAGGACATTAGTGGAAATACATTTAAAAGAGCTGGAATATGTGAGAAGGCTAGTGAAATATTAGGTTTTCTGTTCGCAAGAAGTGTATTACCTGGACAGTCACTGTGATCCTGTGAAGAACAGGAGAGTATTTTAGCATCTACTCTGAAGAAAAATTGATCATAGAAATGGCAGGTAGTGTTTATATTTTTGTAACTTTAAATTTAAAATCTAGTGATTTTAAATGTACTATGAATTAATGCTAATTAAATATTTATCCACTGAAATCTATTGAGCTCCTGCTGATGCCAGGCACTGATCTAGGCACATGGGGTATAGCATTAAACAAAAGACAAGGTTCCTGGCCTCAAGGCACTACTCCTATTAATTATTTGTTAAAGTTAGATGTTAAAGCTAATAACTTAGATCATTTTTTAAACTTCCCACTTCATCTTTATTGAATTGGCCTCAACCCAGTCCAGTTACAGCTGCATAAAAAAGTTATGTCCATTAAAATAAGTGGAGGAAAAGAAGAAGAATAAAAATATCAATAGCAATTGGATTGCAATGTTGCTTCCCTGTGTCAGACCCTTCAATGGCTCCCCTTCTGTCTTAGAGTTAAGCCCAATGTCTTTAAGGATCTGCCCCCTGTTTTCTCTCTGACCTTGTCATCTCCCTCCGTTTTCTCCCCACTCCCCACTCTGCTCCAGCCACAGTGGCTCCTTTGTTCCTTTGTCTTGGGAGCGTTTTTCTCCATATACTTACGCAGTGCTGCCTGTCCCCTTTCCTGATTTTACTTGTCTACAAAGACTTTCCCCCATATAACATACTCTATATTTATTTACATATGCTTATTGTCAGTTTATACATTGCTGTCTCGTTTCCAGCAGTGTATGTTTAACAAAAGTTTGTTATGTTCGTTTCTAAACCTACTAATTCTAGTTATTTGTTATTGAAATAAAAGTAATATAACAAAACACACGTAAATCGATAATTATGATTATAAAAAGAGGAGGATGTTGTTTTTATAATATATAAATGGAATGCTTTGGAAAGATTTATTAAGAATAAGTGGCTGCAACGTTGCTATAGAATTAGGAATGAGCAACTATGATTTTTAAGGGTTAGGGGAGCATTATGAAAATTTAGAATAATACTGTACTCAGATTGCATCACAAGGGTTGTTAATTTCTTGTTTCACTTTAAAGAAACAGACACTGTAAATTATAGACAATTCATTATGGTTGTATGTATGTATATAAATACACATGAAAAATCAGATGGAACTCCAATCAGTGAATTCATAGAAGATTGATACGTGAATAAATATTTGTATTTAAGCTATTTATTTCTTAAATTGTTTTCAGATGAAACAAACTATTTTGACCAAGTCATCAATTAATGGTCCAAATCAGGTTAGGTTAGCGGTTTCTATTGTATTCTCTCTCTCTCTCACACACACACATACACCCACACACAGCACAGAAGTAAGAGATGGCTGAATGAATAAATGAATCAGTAGATAGTTAATCTCCAATATTATGTTTATGTGCATGACGAAGTAAAGGCACATAAGACAAAACTTAGAACACTTAAAATGTGAAAATTTATGATGTTTTAACCAGTAAAAGCACATTCGTTGTTGGAATAGTAATACAACCCTCTCAGCTGAGTGAAGAGAAAGTAGCCTTTAAATAATATTTTAAAAATGCATTACAATGAACTTAAAAGAGATTTTCTACAGTGTGATATAAAAACTAACATTAACTTTTCAAGTTGAATAAAATTTCCATTTGTGAGAGGCCGTAAAGTAATAAGAATCAGAACTGTGGATTATGAGTGTATTTTTTCTGTCTTTTGGGGTATCAAAGAAGAGCTCTTTAAGGTTTTTGCATTCATATTAAAAAACAATGAGGATGTTCATTGGAAGATATGAGAAAGAAAAATTGGGGAAACATGGTAGTCATCTTTACATGGTAAAAAGGAGAAGAGATTACCTTTTTAGTCCTATTGAATGTTAATAAGTATCATCTTACAATTACTGTTCTGAGAGACTTCTCATCTGCCTTTTCAAAGTGGTTTAGAATAGTTGGAAATGGCTAGATATTAGAGCTATTTTATCCTATTGTTAGGTGTAGTTTAAATGTGCCAAATGCTTAGCCTAAAGTGGTAACTATGCCATCTGAACAATCTCCTTTGCTGAGCCTGCAAAAAGCATATGAAAGAGTTTTACCAGCAGTGTATCTCCTCAGCCATTCATCAAAGACTGCATCAGTGAAAGTATGTAGGAGGACAAAAATAGGATCATTGGGAGATAAATGAGTTTGCCCCCCAGTTCCATTCAGGAATAGATGAGCCAAATTGTGAAGGCTTCGCACAGTAGGGTCATACTTTCCTGTGGGATCACTGTAACCTAGATACAAAAAGAAGGATGAGAATAGTAAAAACCATTACACATATCTAACTTTTCAAGTCCAAAGCAGTGATTATATTGGGAAACAATTTTTCCTAAGCTTGTCAGGCCAATTTTTACCTTAGTGTAATAGCACTGCTTCTCTGTACCTATGGTTGGTGACATGTGTTTGCTGTACCGAGAGCTAGGTTAGTTTGAAGCTAGTGGCATGGCATTCTAAATGTAGCCTCTAGCTTAAAAATAATGACCTGCAAAGACTACCAGTCAAAATATATAGAACACTCTATTTTGACAAGGGTAACGTTGGTCTACATGGAAATAAAGATAGTGGAAAGCTCTAGCTTCTACAAAAACTGCTGATACAATTGGGAGAACACCACTCTGATTGTCCTGGAACTTAAATTGCCAGATGTTACTTTAGTCTCCTACCTTATTCCTTTTGAATGACTGTCAGCATGTTTATTTTTAGAAAATTATTTTTGTGGAGAAGTTACAGTTTCTCAGAGCTTTCTTACCATCTCTGTGCTAGTTTTAAATATCTGAAGACTGCTGTCAAAATGTTTATAGAACTTTTGAGAATGATCTGTATTCTATCTATATATCTTCTCCAAATACATTTCCATATTATATATATTTCACATGTGGATCATATATATATTCCCATTTTATATATAATCCACATATTATATTCCCATATATACTCACATATATATATTGTTCATGAATACATATTAGAGAGAAGACAAGGATAGATCACAAACAAAAATAGATGGTCTCTGATGTGGGATGGAGTTACAAGTGTGTGTAGTTAGCTTGAAGGACCAGAGCGGGGATAGCAGGGAAAGGCTGTATATTATAAAACAAAATTAGAATTTGAAATACATTAACTCAGTTGTATAATTATAGTTATTCATTTACTCATATTTACATGTTTATTCCATTATTTTTTGACTCATAAAACGTTTAAAGATTGTCTGTAATGTACACAGCAGGTGGTTAAGCACTAATCTTTTCATGCATTCTGTCAGGAAATCAGTACAATTTGTCTTTTGATTGGGCATCAGTAAGACACAATCTGCAAATTCTTTATGAAATCACTACTTATAGTCTTAGTTTATAAATACCAGCTTAGTCAAAATACGGTTATTATTTATTGAGTCATCTCCAAGTCAGTGTATCATTGTAGTTATGAAAATTAACATAAAGATAGGAAAGAATGGCATATAATTTTGATGATAAAAGGGGAGATAATTGAAAATAATTATCGGATCTATACATCAGGTATCTCAGATTATGGGAAAGAGAGATCTATTCCCTTTTATTGGTTGGGGGGAGGGCGGTCTAACATGTGCAATGCTGTATTTAAGGTAAAATTTGACAATAACAAGTTTATAATAAAGTTAAATGTGATTCTACTCTTTTAAAACTTTAAATATGTATCATGAATAATTTAGAGGTATCAAAATTTATTTTATAAAGTAAATTATTTTATAAAATAATTATAAATGAAATATAATTTATTTTAGAGGACTTAGAAAATTTGGATTTGAATCTGTGCTCTGTTACTAACTAGCTGGATATCTTTGGAAATTAATTTCACTTCTTTGGACCTCAGTTTCTCAGCTTTAAAATACTTTGAATTAAGCAAGGAAAACCAAATTAAATATCTCTAGATGCAAGTTCCAATTTTTATAGATCTTAATAAAAGTTGCAGGATGATACCTAAGTAAAACATGGGCCCAAACCAGGCTTTAGTAGATGGCAACTTATGTTCAGGATTTTTTATTATATTTTTTAAGAAAAAAATTAATAATCTCTCCAAGTCTTGAATATTATTTGCCTATAGTAGAATTTGATATAGTTATACACATATTGGCCAGCTACCTAACAGAAATTTGAGTTTAATACCTTTTAGGTATTTTAACAGAATCATTTCCAAGGGCTTCTCCTATGATAAAAAGTTTCAGGGTCTCACACTTTTCTTTAAGAAAGTTCTTTTTTTGAGCAGAGAATTGTGATTATATCATAATAGGTGGCCCTATTCACATAAACTTACAGGATCCATATGGCATTCAAAGGTTTTTTTCAAAGAGATTTGAATTTGAATAGTTTTCCCTGTAACAACTAGGTCAATTCAGAGCACCGATTTTTACTTGCCTTCCACTGTGTTTCGGAAACTGTTTGTAGAAGTGGAATAAAAAGGAGGTGTGTCAAATAAACCAACTTCCAAGCACTGAGTGACATCCTGTGGTTCAGGAAGACGTTGCACCATTGGTCTAGCCACATTTCCAGCTGGATTTCTCCTAATTGGCCTACCCTCAGTGCCTGGGGAAAAGATGGGAAACGGTGAACATGTATAGAACATTTAGAGATCTTAGCTTTGTTTTTCAAATTTGTATACATAGCACGAACACTGAAAAACAGGGTTTCCTTGGTAGAAGAGAAAATTTTTAAAGTGCATATTTAGTGGCATTAAAGTGAGGAAATAAGTTATCATGTCCAACTTCTGTGAATAGGGAAATTGTGTGATACACAAAATCACCTGAGGAAAAAGATGATCACAATAACAGATAGAGGTCCTTGTATTTGTTAAATCAACATATGCTTTTTTCAAGAGAACACATTAAAATGAAAATTCCATGGAAAATTAAATCCTACCAACATAATCTCATAAACCAGAACTCTACACTGAAATCCGTATTTCATACACATACGAAATTTTGTACTTGAATGCTCTTTCAAGCCTTCAGAGAAATAAAGTTAAAACAACCTTAAATCTCTTTGGGAAGCGGTCTGTATTGCAATCACCACATATTTTTCAGCAATTAATGTGGAAAATAATTGAAACATTTTAAGGTCAGTAAGATAAACAGGTAAACAAAGAGCTGCTGTACTAGGGATAATATGTACCCCTAGAGATACAGAGATGCCTTTGGGGAGACAGGGAGGGAGAAAAGGAGAAATAGGGAAGGGAGGGAAGGGGGGGGTGGGAAGCGGGGAGAGCGTAAGTGAGAGAATCAATTCTTCCCAAATGGATGGCTTCAGGAAGCCTTCATTAGGTAGAGAGATTTGCAAAGATCCCTAAAGGACTGAGGAAAATTGCCAGAGGTGAAATAAGACAGATTTTTCAAGTCAAACATTTTAAGCACAAGTAATAATAAAAGAGATAAGCTTTCTTCTATGCATCATATAAGCCCCATCGGAGCACAAACTCTTTTCTTGATCACCAGTGTGTCCTCCAGTCTTGATCCAGCACTGGCATATAATTAAAGCTAAATAGTTGTTTGGTGTATGTTGATTTATGAAAAGATCAGGTTGATTGTACAAGAGGGCCTGTTAGGTGAACAGCTTGCCTAGGGTATGTGGCAATGTAAGGGTGTAGTGGATGGCGGGAAGGAAAGGAAGCTAGACAAGAACTGTTTTATTTATTAGGCCAGTGAAAGAAAAAAGGAAAATAACATTTTATTGAACACATATTAATGTGTCTGATATGGTGTCACATACTTTAATAAGATATCTGATTTAATCCTCACGGTAATTCTTGCCTCTCTCTACTTTTCTTCTTGGATGAAATTATCCATTCCTGTGGTTTCACTGATCATCTTTTACAAGACACCCATACCCGTACAGCTTTGGATCAAACCTTCCTTAGACGTTGCATGCTTATGTCCTCATATGCTTTCTGGACAGTATCTTTGCAGTATTCCATAAATGCACCAAATTCGGTATACTGAAAGAGTTAATTATTGACATCTAACATTCTTCCAGCCACTAAAATATCACCTTTAATTCATCACATGTAAAACATGCTCTTTCTTCACTATACTTCTTAAATTTGCTTTCTACTTCAGACACTCTGAACTTTTCATTCATTCCTGCATGGAAATCCCACAGGACTCCAATCCATAGGATGTTAATAGGTGCAATGGCAGAAGTTGTCCATGTGCAAACAAATTAAAAAAAAATCACAGTCAGAGAGAGATGAATGTTTTGGTATCTAAAGACATACTGATCCTCAATTTTATCTCATTCAGCATGCCAAACAAAGTTTTATTTTAATTTTTAAACTTCTACAGAATAAAATTTTATATACATTTACTTCTCTTATTCCTATATATGCCTAAATAATTTTCTAATGGTGAAAAATCTACTTAATTTCTTTGCTCTATTTAAAATATTCTCTATTTAAGTTACAAAGTAATTTAATATTTGGTGCCTAAAGGAATATGTGCAGAATAAATGTTATTAGTATAATAATAAAATAAAAAATAAATTCCAATAATTCTAGTTTTTATATGGAAGAACAAAAGTTCAAAATAGCCAGACGTGCCTGAAGAAGAAAAATAAGATGGGATAAAAAGACTCTGATAATTAAGACCTTCTGTTAGCAGCAAGAGAGACGGTAAAAATAGGATCTAAGGAAGAGAACAGAAAGCTTCACGGGAGCTGATCCACATAGGACAGAAACGTGCCCTGTGGCAGAGATGGCATTCAGACCACTGGAGAAAGGATGCTAGGAAAACTGGGTAATCATTCTCTTTTTGTATTCACTTTGGGAGAGCTGGAAAGAGCTAGTTGGCAGACATCTTCTGTACAGTATCTTTCTTTTATTAAAGGCATCCTCCATGTCACCTTTTGGTTTTTTAACCTTCTGAGCAGATTAACATAATAGTAAAAATAATATAATAACATAAAATAATAGTAATAATCATTATACAATAATAATAGTAATTATTATTATATGTATTTTTTACTCCCAGGGCACTTCCAACTCTTTCTGCATATTTCACATTTCCTAGGGAAACATTTTCTGTGAAATTCCAACACAAGACACATGACTACTAAGCAGTGCTGAGCTTACTAAGAGGATTAATTAATACGAAATAGACATTTCCAAAATAAGAAAGTGAGCAATGCACTGACCAAGTTGTTCAAGGAAAGCAATGGAAAAATGGATAGGCACTTTCTTTTTCCCCTGGAGCACCCCAGATTGCCTTGACTGTCCTAGGTACTTAGTGAATATTTGTACATCAACTCTCCATAATAAACGTGGATTTTAGTCTGAAGTCCTTAGTAGAATGAAGAGCCTTCAGGCAGCACATTTAATCACTTTACCTAACAGGCAGTTCTGAATCCTAGTTGTCATTTGGAACTTACTGTTACAAAGGGTTCCCAGGGTATCATAATCTTCCAAGGATTCGCAGACCACTCGCCATTGAGAAAAGACGGAGTTCGGGCTTATAAGAGTGGAATCAAAGTTGCTTCTTGATCCCATCAAGTCATTGGTGCAAATGTCACAGGTGTTCTTCCCGGTGGCAAAATTCCAGTAAGGAAGGGAGAAAGAAGGATCCTGCAACATTTCCTAGATCACAGAAACTCTGTTAGCATTCTCTGCTTTTGTTTAAAATTCTCCCTTTGCTTGGTTTACTCCCTGGCATTCTGTTTCTATTAGTTCTCTTCAGCCACTTAGGAACCAGTTAGTGTGTCAGTGGTGCCTGAAGGGCTAGAGGACTTAAATACCTTATTTAACAAAGCCTCAAATTTACTACAGTAAGTCACTTGGGCACTAGAGGGAATGAAACTCAACTTGTTATACAGAAGTTTCTGCAAATGCTTTGGGGAGGTGTCTTCCTTTTCTTTTTTAGGCAAGTTACATTTCTGTTGGTTTTACTAAGAATTATCAATAATCACTTCTACACTTTGACATTTCCACTTCCTTTCATTTTCTTATCTCTAATTCAAGCATGACTAACTCCTGGTCTGGCGCCAGACTCAGCCTCGAGATATATTATGTGAAGCAGTGCCTTTTATTTTGTTTCTGTTTTTTAATTTAACCAGAACGACTTCAGGCATTTAGATTCTGGTTTGGCCACAGACTACGGAGGCTCTTTCACACTTGCCTTATCTGCCAGGGCACTGAAGGTGTTTTACTTAGAGACCCCTGCTTCAGAATCTAAACTATGAAGACTCAGGCTTCTGCTAGAAACTAATACAGACAGGAAATGCTAAACTGAAGCAGAATATTTCTCTGTGCACACTGTTATTTAGACCAGAGACCTAGTTTCCATTTAGAGCTGTTCTCAACAATTTTAAAAATGCTGGACTCAAGATCACATGCTTATTTTACTGGGTTCCTTTAAACATGTATTTATTGTACTTGTTATTTCTCATTCCTTTAAGCCTTTAGTGAGCTATATTTAGAGTGTGGGATATAAATGTAGGGATTGCCATTGTTTTATCTCACAAGTATTTAGTACATATGTACTTTTTTACTTTTAAACCCTTTCTAGGAAGCATTTCCTTGTCCTCGGGGTATTTTAGAGGGTCAGAACTTTCCAAGGTATTCCCCAGTTATTGATCTCCAGAGCTTTAGAGTCCTTATTTAGAAGCCATTGTTCTGGTTCACAAAAATTAGTGACAGCTTCTAAGGGATCATTAAGAGTCAGTTTGTGGTTCAGCAACTGGCATCTGGGAGCTGGAGCAGATTCATGTGGCATTTCAACTGTGCGTTACATTTAGATTGTAATTTGTTGGATCCCTTGTGCTGTTGGGTTTTAAAAACGTAAGTCTCTATAGAGGTTGAAGCTTACGCAGGCAAAATTGAAGCTTTTAGATACTTTCCACCTGCCCTTCCATTTTGATGTACCTGTGGGAAAATGACTTGAAGGCAAGAAGAGCTCGAGTCGATTACAAATGACAGATTTATCTACTCATAATCTGAAAATTGCCTTGAAATCAGAGCTATAAACTATGAAGTTCAGAGTATCAGATGAATTCATTTAATCACTCTCAAATTGCATATGGATGGACTACTTACTTGTGAATATTTTGTTCTGTATTTTAGTGCATTAAATCTCTCCCTTCTAACCATTTATTTTCTTGGATAATGCTGGGCACAAGCATACTGCGAATCAATATGGGAATCTGCCCTCGGATATTTTTAGATTTTAATTTGTGGGGAGGGATTCATTGCTGTCATTTCATCTAGAAAACAGGTTCAGTTTGTGGATTTCCTAATTGAGATCTAAGAATTTTAAAGGGGTTAGGGGTTAGGTTGGGGTTAGCAGATGTAAGCTGTTATATACAGAACTGATAAACAACAGGGTCCTACTGTATAGCACAGAGAACTATATTCCATATCCTATGATAAACCATCATGGAACAGAATATAAGAAAAGAATGTATAGATATGTGTAACTGAATCACTTTGCTGTACAGCGGAAATTAACACAACATTGTAAATCAACTGTACGTCAATAACAAAAAATTTTTTAAAAAACTTCATTTAAAAATAACAATACTTTTCTTAAAATATTGAGCAATTAGTAAAATAAACAATGTGAAAGTATTTATGTTAACAGATTCTTTAATGTGGCTTTAGCTTATCTGATTAAAAATAAGCAGGAAATAACTTTGTTTTGAGCTTCACTTTATGCCAAAAAAGTCAATGCCTTTTTAATTAAAATGATGTCTGACCTATGGGATGTTGTTAGTAGGTGTCTTCTATAAGCCTCAAAGTGGTAGGGGGCATGGAAAAAATGTAGTTCAATTAAAATATGACAATATAAATGAAAAGTAATTTTTTTCATAATTTAAACCCCGTATCATATCAGAACGAATCATCAACTTATAAAGTGAGCTATACATTTGGGACTTGGAAGACTGAGAAGTTATACACACCTGCCTCATTCAAACCAGGAGGAGGTATTGGTTTACATTTGAAAAGGGAGACATATCAAGTGAGAGTCCCTTCATTGCAAACTATATGAGGGTTATTTTTTCAATGACAGAGCTGTAGAATATGTCCAGTGCTTTAATTCACACCTACAAATATCTCAATTGGCTTCCTCATCACTGATGAGACTTTCTTTTCACTTCACAAAGGGTAAAGATTAATTAATAAGGAAGTAATTAGCATAGGGAGAAACTTAACAGAATGCCAAAGGCAGATTAATAATGTGAAATCGCTTTGTCATCGCCTGTTTTGATCATTTGGAACACAGTGGATCAACAACTTAGAAACAAGTCACCTCCTCTGTAAAGGATATGAACATGGCCATGCCTCGTGCATACCTGCATGTCCCTCTCCAGCTGCAGCAGGTGGTACCTATGCCATGTGAGAAACGCTGGTCCCTCATGAGAGAAATCCACTTCACCAAAGCTTTCCTGTCCTGCCCCCAGAAAAGTCTTTTTGACTGAGTAGTAGTGCGTCCAAACAAAGTAGTTATAAATGGAAATGTTCTCAAATTGTGGGGTGTTGCCATCTGGCCCCAATATTTCTTCTGATCTCCTGGTGGCAATGACAAACTGAGGGTGAATTGTACGCTTTGCCATATCCAGGGCCCGGACAAAGCGGTTCTTTTCTTCTGTACTTAAGTCCAGTAGGTTTCTCCTGACTTTAAGGGTACAAAATTCAAACGTGAAAACATCGGCAGTGTGGGCATGGGTAGACAATGCACATAATCATCTTGTAACACCACGTCCCATTTACCCATGAATGATAACTTACATGTGTGCTCACATCATTTTATACTTTTAAAAATACCCCTTGCTAAAATCCCTTCTTCAGGCCTGCTTTTTGTCTCTCTCTTCCCCTCCTTCTTTCTCTCTCCAACTTACTCTAGGATTCCTATGAGCTTTCCTTAATCTTACCATGGACTTTATGATTCTATGATCCTGTTATATTGATTTCTGCTCACTATTGGCATATTTCTTGGAGTTTTCTACCTTTTTAATATCATAAATTTTGCAAAAACACGGTATGCGGTATAGTATAGTGGTTAAGACCAGAGCCTCATTCTGTGACTGCACACATTTCTCTAAGCATCAGTTTTTCATCTGTAAAGTGTGTGTAAGAATATCCGCTTTATAAAGCTGTAAAGACTAAGAGGACACACATAAAAAGCACTTAGACCAGAGCCTGGCTCAGAATAAAGACTCACCCACAGACATAGAGAACAAACTTATGGCTACCAAAGGGAAAGGGGGAGAGGGATAAATGAGGAGTTTGGGATTAACACGTACATACAACTGTATATAAAATAAATAACAAACAAAGATGTACTCTGTAGTACAGGGAACTATACTCAATATTTTGTGATAACCCATAAGGGAAAAAAATCTGAAGAAATAGATATATATGTATAACTGAATCACTTTGCTGTAGCCACAACATTGTAAATCAGCTATACTTCAATTAAAAAAAAAAAAAAAAGGTTTCCCTGGTGGCACAGTGTTTGAGAGCCCGCCTGCCGATGCAGGGGACACGGCTTTGTGCCCCAGTCCAGGAAGATCCCACATGCCGTGGAGCGGCTGGGCCCGTGAGCCATGGCCACTGAGCCTGCGTGTCTGGAACCTGTGCTCCGCAACGGGAGAGGCCACAACAGTGAGAGGCCTGCGTACCACAAAAAAAAAAAAAAAAAGGCTCAGTAAACGTCCCCTGAAACTCTTGGTCCCATGTTTGGCACAAGGAAAACAATCCAGTATTGCCAACTGTTACTATTTAAAGCTTTCTCATTTATTGTCATTTAGGCTGCAGGCCAGGCTCATCTTGTAAAATGGCTGAACTTGATCATCAGAGCAGGAACCATCCTTGTGGTCAGCAAGGGTAGTGGAAGAAGCTCATCGATTAGAGCTGGACACATCTCAGTGTGAATTCCAGGTTTACCACATACCAGCTACATGGACTTGACCTTTCGGAACCTCACAATTAACATAACTATCTTGCAAAGTTACTGAAAGGTCCAGTCATAAACACCTAGCACAGTTCCTAGTATAAAGGAGTTGCTCAACAAATCTTTTGAAAGGAAATGTTATTAGAAGACTTGAGGTTCACCTTCAACTCCTTAAATCAAATACTTTTCTCAGCCTCTCTAAGCCTCAGTTTCCTCAGCTGTGAAAAGTAAGTCTTGAGCTTTATGATTTCTGGGAGTTCTGAAAGTTCAACTGGTTCAGGATTCTGTAAGTGTGTTGAGTTCCACGCAGAACTGTGCATCCATTCACACCCCACTTACCTATGAGAACCCTCTGGTCACAGGCAGCTCCTCTCCATCCAGGACGGCAGGTTCCACAGTTGTATCCTGAGAAATTGCCAATGCAGTGGCATGTCCTGTTGAAGAAGCGCGTGGGCCAGCCCTCTCGGTCATCTCTGCCATCGTGTGGGTACTGGGGGCCGTGGGGTCGGGAGTCAGCTGTCACCACTTCACACCTGCCCCTTCCCGATGAGGAACCACAGCGGTCAGTCCCAGGCCCAGACAGTGGGAACAGGTCTGGGCAACACACGCCATTTCTCAGAGCCTCGATGGTGACACACTGTCTTGGGAATTGAGCCCAGGCCTGCTGGAAAAAAAGCAGGGCCAAGAAGGTGTAGCCCAGAGAGAGGAGTTTGGGAGCTTTCATTCTGCTTGAAGCAAGAATGCAGTACAGGCTCTGGTTTTCAGCCCTTTGTGTAGAGCCCGAGGCACATAGATAAAAAGCAAGCTGAAAAGGAAAAAGCAAGATGAAATTATGCAAGTTGTTTTGTACTGTTATAAATGGCATGAGACCCTTCCCAACCCACCTTCAAAATGCTTTTCATATCTGTAAAATGACATTTCAAAAACTAATCAAAATAGTAATTTACCTTTAAAAATTTGACATGTATAATACCTACATAATTAAATCCCCTGTCCTCGTCATTTAATTTTCTTCATTTTAAATTTCTATTTATATAAAAAAATACTTACCCTGGATGTCATTTATCAAAAGCACTCATTATCGGGTCACTGTCGTTAATTACATTTATCTGTGGAGCTGAAAGAAGAAATTGGGGGCAGATTTCTAGCAAGTTAATTTCCAGGATTTAAAGTCCCCTTTATCCTAATGGAGTTTTGGCGGGAATCCACCCACTCCCCATAGAGTTTCTCTCCAGTACCTTGAACTCCTGAGGGGATCCTCTGCTGAGCCTTTCTTAGAACTGAGTGTTTTATATTTGCTTCTCCCCTGATGTCAGAGCTGTTAATTGCTTGTGGGTTTCTGCCTGGTAACTCATCCCAAATCTGTTCACCCAAACTGGGAGGGGCTGCTCCTCTTTTCCACCCTTTACTAATCTCTTTTCACTTCAGTGAATTTTTCTGCCCTTTAAGTATTTGGTTAGCACATGATTGCCTTCCCACTGATTTCCTTGTGATGTTTAAAGTTTTAAGAAAAGGTCAGAGCCACGAATTTGGAATACAACAAGTCAGAGAAACTAGAGAGCTTTTGTTTTCATTGCAGAGAATTTTATTTTTTCCTTTGAAAATATATCTTTAGAGGGTAAATGAGATTACTTACCTTTTCTTAGTGATAAAGGGCTAGGCTAGTGCCTGCACCTGATGGTAGCTTTTGATTGTGTTCCGTCTTGAAAACAGATGCCACCATTCTTAAAATTTCCAGAGAGAATAATTGTAGTAGAAAAGACATCAGATATAATTACACCAACTCACATGACATTGGCTATCAAGGTGACTGCTGGTATTGACAGTTGGGTACTCCAACTCCCTTACCTCCATTGGGGTGGTGTTCATCTCTGTGGCAAAGGATCTCAGGGTCACTGCTATGTCTACTGTTTAGAAAATGACCACTAAATAGCTTATTCTTTCCTACCTTCTCTGCAAGCAGTCTTAAGTTAATGGCACTAAGGGTAATAGATTCCTGTATTTCAAAAGGAATTTTCCTCTGGAGTTGAGACCCATACATATGAAATCAATTTTCAAAGTTAATCTTTAGTTTGGAGTACATAATTGCTGTGCAAAAGTGATCAGAATTTGCGATCAGGGTTAGCTGTCCTATTTGACTCTCAGCCATAAAATTGTCCAGAAACCTATATAAAGGACTTGGGTATATGGTTACCAACAAAAAGCCAACCAAGGCTATGTCTACAAATTAAGATAAAAAGAATAAGAAGAATTTCCTATACGCGGCCCCTTGTCCAGGCCATCAACATGATTTATTACAACCATATCAAGCCATGGTTATTAAGATTTGTGTCTATAAATCTAGTGTTATTCTTTTTAAATTTAGTTTTATATTTTGGTCTGTTGTGTATAAAACAATCTACTAATGTGAATACATATTAGGATATTTCCTAAAATGTTTTAAGAAACACAGCAATCCTGGTTATGATCTGTCGCATGCGTAGAGGCCAAAAGTCCCTTTTTCTTTTTTGCCTTGGATCTCGGGTACTAGAATCACAAAATTGCTATCTGTCATCATTACTATTTAAGTAGGCTTCAGTGACCAAACTTTTTTTCCCCACTAATACTATGTATTCAAGTTGTTGTATGTAACAATATTCTATTATATTTTTTTAATGTCAGTTTGATATATCGTTGTAAGAATATACTCTATCCATTCTCCTGTTAGTGAACATTTGGGTTATTTTCCAGGATTTTTAATTTAATTTTTTGTCTTATGAACAAAACTGCTGTAAAGAGGCTTGTAAATGTTTCTTTTTAAACATATATAAGAATTTCTTGTGGTAAATACCTAGGAAATGGATTGCTAGTCATAGGATTTGTGACTATTTATGTTAGTTTTAAATTGTTTTCCAAAGTGGTTGTATCAATTTATATTCCCACCAGTAGTGCTTAAGATTTCTTACTGGTTCACAAACTTGCTAACACTTGGTAATAATAGACTTAATTAACATTATAGAGATAGATATTTCATTCATGTTAATAACTAATATGTTTTAATACTGTTCTTGTGCTTTTATCCCATCTGTTTCTTTTATTGTACATTTTTTTCATGCATATTGCCAATTTTTTTAATTAGGTTTTTTGTCTTTTTGCTATATAGGACTTCTTTATGTATTCTGTCTTCTAATCTTCTGTTAGATAAATATATTGAAAATATCTTATTCTAATTTATGGCTTAAGTTTTGCATTCTTGACACAGTTTTCTGAGGATTAGTAGTTCTTAATTTTAATGTCATGGTATCAATCTTTTATTTTATTGTTAGTAGCTTCCATGTCTTGTTACCATTCCAGAAGCAATGAACTATTTTTTAATGTTGTCTCCAACATAAAAAGCTTTAAATATTGCCTTTCACATTTCACTCTTTAAATGCATGAGGAATTAGGTCTTGTGCTTGATGTGAATAGTAACCTCAGTTCAACTTTTTGTTCCACATCAAAACCCAATTTTTCTGAGCACCATTTATAGCTGGAGCCATCCTTTCCCTAGTCATCTGCAGTATCACCCTTTCAGGTTTTCACGTATGAATGGATTTATTTCTGGCATTGCTCTTCTGTTCTGTTGGTGAATTTGACTATCCCTGTGTCAATGTTATGTATTCTTTTTTAAAAATCTTTTTTTAATTGAAGTATAGTTGATTTACAATGTTGTGTTAATTTCTGGTGTACAGCAAAGTGATTCAGTTATACATATATATATACATATTCTCTTTCATATTCTTTTCCATTATGGTTTATTATAGGATATTGAATATAGTTCCTTTGCTATACAGTAGGACCTTGTTGTCTGTCTCCAGATGGCTTATGTCACTTTAGTTCCTGAGTGATAATTTTGAAGATGTTTCCTGTGCTGTTTTGTCATTGACACTGAGGTTCCTCAGAAGTCTGCTATCATTCTTAAGGTGTTTCTTTGTAAGTTAGCTGTCTTCTCTTTCTCTGACTTCTTTTAAGATCTTCTTTTTGTCTCTGCTTTCACAGGTTGTGTATAGAAATGGATCTGTTTTTATTTATTCTACTTAGTCTACATTTTGCTTTATATATTTGTAGATTCATGAATTTGTCCATTCTGGAAATATTGTAGTAATTTTTCTCTTCCAATTTTGCCTCGTCTCCATACTCTGTTTACTTCTTCTGGGCCTATGATTAGGCATATATTCTCATTCTGTACTTCATATCTCTTAACGTATCTTTTTATTTTGTATAAATTGGCAGAGTTAATGGTTTCTATTAGAAGATACCTATAAGTTGTTGGGTAATTTTAAATATTGTCATATCAGTCAGTTGGAACTATCTAAAATCATGTGGAAATTGGTTTTATCATTAAAATTATATTAAAATACATAAAGAAAATAATTTCCATACTCTTTGAGTCAGCAACCAAAGCCTGAATGTATTAGAATCACAAAACACAAGCTGGGGATTTTATTATTATATTATAAAATGACTCTACTCCAGGAGGTTATAGACTAAGAATATACCAATATATTTAACAGGCAGTTCTCTCACCATAAAATTTGATCTTAAATCACCAGGCTCAGTGTTTATATTAATAATTTGTGTTGTTTTTCTGTTACTGCACAGTTGTAGGAACAAAAATAAAAGAATAAGTCAAGTTGCCTCAAAAGTCACCAGGTAAATATCCAAAACTATGTTTGGCAGTTGAGCCAGATTAACAGATAGCACCAATTTTTGCTTTTTATCACTTTATCAAATAAGTAAGTAAGAAGTTGCGCAACAGGTAAATGGGAAAAGGAAGAGGTCCTTTGGGAAAGGAAGAATTACTAAGAAAATAAGCTATTATACCTAGAATGTCGGAACTGAAAAGTCCTGGTGCCTTACAGTACATAATTTTCATCACATTTTAATAGACCAGCAGGCAGAGAACTGGTTATAGCCAATGCTGAGTATACTGGACTGAGCTAATGATGTCTTAACTGCCAGTTGGCCATACTAGATCGCTTTAAGGTATGAATCATTAGATTTTGGAAAAATACGATGGGATTTTTCTACTTTCCTATAAGTTTAGGAAGCACGTATTTTATCCAGGTTACAATTCATAGGCAAAGGGAAAAATTTAACCTGCCCTGTGGCAAAAACCTAATTTATCCCCTCACCCGCCATACTTAATGTCACAGGAGTTTATTTTCCACACGAGAATTTATTTTTCACTCAGCAGCCTGAGAGAGCTTTTTATTACTGATAACCTGATGAAAACAAAATCTGTCAGTGATTTCCAAACATACCTAGAATAAAACCCTAAGTGCATACAGAAACCTTCATGATCTGGCCCCTCCAATCTCTGACAACCTTCAGCCCTCCCTGGTAAACTCTTTTATTCACTGCTTTGTTTCTTACACTTACTATTCCCTCTGCCATTTCCCCAGGTGTTTGTGTGACTTGCTGTGTCATGCCTTTCATGTCTGTGTTCCGATGTTACCACTTCGGAGAGGGCTTGCCTAAAAACCCCACCTAAAATAGACCTCTCTGTCCCTAAACCCATTATTCATTACTCTCTTTTTTTAAGACTAAATCTCCTTCATAGTACTAAACATTGCCTGAAATTTTTATTACTTATTCATTTTTTACTTGTTTATTGTTTGTCTCACTTATCAGAAGACAAGTTTTTGTCTTTCTTCCAATACTGACCTGAGAGATTTCTAGAGAGCCATTTAGCTGTTTTTTAAATGAAGTAGGACTAGACATCTGACTTATTTACTCTCAGTCTAGTAATTCGTCAGTACTGCCACTAAAATGAATAAATATAACCTACCTCCAATATTTTCATTAGCTACTATTCGTGAGCACCTGTTATTTCCCTTAGTGCCATGCATATATTAGCTCTCATTCTTGAAAAATATTATTAAAGTATTACTTTTATTCCTCTTCTTCAGGATGAGGAAACACAGGCTTATGGAGATTCAAAACTTTAAAAAATTATGTAGCTTGTAGGTGGCAATTTCAGGTTTTGAAGTCAAATTAATTTGGTTCCAGAATGTTTGTATTTTTTAAGTACTGCTCACATTCTAAAGAAGAAGGCTGGAGTACGGAGAGAGTGTTGTAT